AATTTGTTCCAGTATTTTACCACCCCCCTAGTGAGAAAGTTTTTCTTAATATCTAACCTAAATTTACCTTGCTTCAACATAAGTTCCTTGCTCCATGTTCTCTCATATGCCACCCCTGAGAACATTCTAGCCCCATCCTCTTTTGAGCCATGCTTCAAGTAGATGAAAGCTGCTATTAAATCCCATCGTAGTCTTCTGTTCTTCAGATTAAATAAGCCCATTTCCCTTAACCTGTCTTCATAAGTCATGTGCCCCAGCCCCCTAACCATTTTTGTTGCCCTCCACTGGACTCTCTTCAACTTCTCCACATCATTTCTATAGTGGGGTGGGGGGTGCAAAACTGGACACTACTCCACATGTGGTCTCACCAGTGCAGCATAGAGGGGAATAATCACTTTCTTCAATATTCTAGCCACACTCCTACTAATGCAGCTCACTATGCCATTAGCCTTCTACACAACAAGGGCACACTATTGGTTCACATTCAACTTGTTGTCCACTGTAACCCCCAGCTGCTGCTTATCCAGTTGGTCCCCAGCTAATACCAGTGCATGGGATTCTTCTGTCATAAGTGCAGGACTTTGCACTTGTCCTTAGTGAACCTCATGAGGTTTCTTTTGGTCCAATCCTCCAATTTGTCTAGGTCTCTTTGAATCCTAGCCCTACCCTCCAATGTATCTACTACTCCCCCCAGCTTGGTGTCATCTATAAACTTGCAGAGGGTGAATTCCATCCCAACTCCCAGGCCATTGATGAAGATATTGAACAAAACTGGACCCATGACCAACCCCTTGGGCATGCCACTTGAGAATGGGTGCCAAATAGACATTGAGACATTGATCACTACCTGTTGAACCCAATGATCCAGTCAGTTTTCTATCCACCTTACACCCTCTTCATCCAACCCATACTTTTTTAGCTTGCTTGCAAGAATGTTGTGGGAGACCATATAAAAAGCCTTGCTAAAGTCAAGGTATATCATGTCCTCTGCTCTTTCCACATCCACAGAGCCAGTCATCTCATCAGAGATGGCAACTACATTGCCCAGGCATGACTTGCCCTTGGTAAATCAATGCTGACTGTTCCTAATCACCATTTTATCCTCCAAGTGCTTAGAAATGGATTCCTTGAGGACCTGCTCTATGATTTTTCTAGGAACTGAGGTTAGGCTGACCAGTCTGTAGCTCTCTAGATCCTCCTTCTTCCCATTCTTAAAAACGGGCATTACAGTTGCCCTTTTACAATTATCTGGGACCTCTCTCAATCACCACAAGTTTTCAAAGATAATGGGCAGTGGCTCTTCAATTACATTGGCCAACTCCCTCAGCACTCTTGGGTGCATCATGTCCAGCCCCATGCACTTGTACATGTCCAGCTTTTCAAAATAGTCCCTAACCTGTTCTTTTGCCATTGTTGGCTGCTAATCTCCTTCCCAAACTAGGCTGCCAGGCACAGTAGTCTGGGAGCTGACCTTGCCTGTGAAGACCAAGGTAAAAAAGGCATTGAGTACTTCATTGAGTACTTTAGCCTTTCCCTCATCATCTGTTACTAGGTTGCCTCCCCCATTTAGTAAGGGACCTACACTTTCCCTGATCTTCCTCTTGTTGACATGCCTATATAAACCTTTCTTGTTAACCTTCATGTCTTTTGCTAGCTGGAACTCCAATTGTGCTTTGGCCTTCCTGATTTCATCCCTGCATGAGTGAGCAATATACTTATATTTCCCCCTAGTTGATTGTCCAAGCTTCCACTTCTTGTAAACTTCCTTTTTGCATTTTAGCTCACTAAAGAGTTCTCTGCTATGTTAAGTTGATCTTCTACCATACTGATAGTCTTCCTGTGCATCAGGATGGTTAATTTCTGCACCCTCAGTAATGTTTCTTTAAAATACAACCAACTCTTCTGGATTCCTTTCCTCCTCAGACTCGCCTCCCAAGGGATCCTGCCCATCAGTTCCCTGAATCAAAGTCCACTTCTCTGAAGTCCAGGGTCCATACTCTGTTGCTTTCCTTCTTTCCTTTCTTCAGGATCCTGAACTCAATCATCTTGTGGTTGCTGCTGCCCAATTTGACATCCACTACTACATTTTGCACCAATTCTTCCCTGTTTGTGAGCAGCAAGTCAAGAAGAGCAAAGTCCCTAGTTGGCCTTTCCAGCACTTGCACCAGGAACTTATCCAACAGTCTCCAAAAACTTCCTGGTATGCCTATGCACTACTGCATTGCCCTTCCTGATGAGAACCAGGGCCTCTGATCCCCTTATAGCTGTTTTAGATGAAGCCTCATCCACCCCATACTCCTGGCCTGGTCATCTATAGCAGACACCCACCACAACATCACCCTTGTTGCTCTCCCCTCTGACCCTAACCCAGGGACTTTCAACATGCCTATCTCCAGTTTCATACTGGAACTCAGAGCAATCATGGATCTCATTTAACTAAAGCACAACCCCTCCTCCTCTTCTCCCTTGCCTGTCCTTCCTGAACAGTTTATACCCATCCATGACAGTGCTCCAGTCATATGAGCTATCACACCGAGTGTCTCGTTTTCCAATGACATCATAGTTCCATGACTCATGAGCTGATTTGTCCCAGGCCCCGTTGCTGGCCCCAGGTGGCAGAACCATCCTCCTGTCATCCAGCAGGCAGATCCAGAACCTGCAGCCCTGGGAGCAGTCTGACACAGCCCCTGCAGCCCTTCCAGGGGTGCGGGTGGGGCCCCAATCTGCTTGCCATATGACAGGAGGCTGGTGTTGCTAGCTGGAGCCAGTGGCAGCACTGATCTTCCTGGTGCTGGGTGTGGGCTCCACCCAGCGCCATCTCAGGTGGCAGGAGCAGCCTCCTGTGATCCATCAGGCTGATTGGGGACCCCCCCATTCCCCCGGAAGGGCTGCAGTGCTCTGCCAACTCCTCCCAGGGGTGCAGTGGGCCCCCGATCAGCCTGCCAGAGGCTCTCACAGGAGGCTGGTGCTGCCAGCTGGGACTGGCACTGGGTGCAGCTCATGCCAGGAACACTAGTGCTGCTGTTGGCCCCAGCTGGCAGCACCAGCCTCCTGTCATCCATCAGGCAGATTGGTGGCTCACCCACACCCCTGGGGTGGCTGTGCCGGACTCCTTCTAGGTGTGGGGGCCCCAATCTGCCTGCTGGATGACAAGAGGCTGGTGCTGCCAGCTGGGGCCAATGGCAGCACCAGTCTTCCCAGTGCTGGGTGCAGAATAGCCTATGGGCGAAACATTGAAACAGCATCAAAACAGTGAAACAGTTTTGATGAAAAGAAATGGAACAGTGCTTTTGAAATTAAACAAAACTCAAAACTAAACACTGTTCCATCAAAACGGAAGTTGCAGTAGAACAGTGCTGTTTCACACACCCCTACAGGAAACCCATGACAACAGTCTTTAGTGAATTTAAAAAAATCAAGTGCAGTTAGTGGAGAAATAAGTTTAAACAGGTAAAGCATCTGAACTCATACTTTTGAAGACTAGTTTATTCTTGAAGAAACCTTTGATATGTGTGTTGTATGCATGTTCCATTTCCCTCTGTCATAAATATTATATAACAGATTAGGTTGTGTATATAAGAGTTCCCTCAACGAGTTGAGCAGTTACAACAGAGAACTGTGACCTAAATCATCCTCTGAAAGCCCTCAGAAAAGGGAAATCTACTCAGAAAATTGAAAATTAAATGGCAGAGTTCTCAGTACAATATCCCTCCCACATGACAGCAATATTCAAGTATGATAGCTTGGGCAAGATCATAACTTGGTAACTTTGCCACCATTAGCTAAGCACTTCCATTTCAGGATAAGAAATCAGAGAGTAAGGATTAACAATTTAAACAAACCATTCACTTTCCAATCAGGACAGTGGTGTGTGTTGTAGTAATTTCTTAGCCCTATTTTCCCAATTCATACAGAGGTTATGTGCCATGAGGTTTTGCCAATATAAATATTTAAATATTTTCCCTGAGCTAAAGACATGCTCAACCTTTGCAAATAATTCTATTTGAAGTATATTTTTATTTTTAAATTAACTCAGTTTCAATTAAGTGGACACTTACAAGTAAATTCCAAGAGGGAACTTCTGAAATTTCCAATTCTCATTCCTTCCATGGGGCATCTTCATCTGTATTAAAAACTATTTCAGTTTCCTACTAAATTACAGAATGTTTATTATGGGAGTGTAAAATGCCATAATCATTAAGCCTCGGGAATTTGTATATATGATAAATTACCACATTTAAAAGTGACTTCATTTAAAGGAAGACTATCTGAAATGCATCTGTTGTTTACAATGTAAAGGAGCACTAATGTTGTGTTTACCCATAGAGGGACTGAAGATAGTTCACTATTGTAGCTCTGTTATTACCTTTCAGCAATGAAATATGTAATCTTCAGGGCAAGGTTGTCCCTATAAGACTAAGCAGGAAAGGTGTTCAAAGATATACATTTTTTTTTATTCTCAGTTGGCTACTGGGGCAGCATCATGCAGGTTGGGCAGGTGGAAGTTAGAATGAATATAGGATTTTATTAAAAAAAATAGATATAAGTAATGGAGGTCTGTGTTGTTAGCATCAAAGTGAAACAAGAAAAAGGATTCACCTATTTTCAATCTACATATAAATGGGACATTTTAAAAATATAATCTCCTCCTTATTGTAAAACCTCAATTTTGTGATATCAGGAGGAGTGGATGACCTGTGATACCTTGCATAATGGACCTGTAATGATCAGCTACTTCATTCTAATGCACAAGTTAGCAAGTTGGAGCAAGGAATTAGTTAATTTTTGGTTCTGCCGGTGCAATATTCCAGATTCCTCATCACATTCAGCTTCATAATGACTTGATTAAGAGGTCTGCTCCACTGACCTTGATCCTTTGATCTTCCCAAGTTTATATGTAGAATGAAGAAAAAGTGTGTGTTATATTTCTGTCCCCTTTGTTTCCTAGAACCACACAGATACAAAAGTTTATTTCATCTGAAAACTCCAGTCAGACGCACCTTTACATCAGCCAGGAATTCCTTGATTCCAAGGAGATTTTTTAGCTGATTCACTCTGTGAAAAGGGGTCAGAATGGGAGTGAGAACTTAGCCTAGTAACCTAGCATAATATTGCCACTTAAAAATTATACAGTTCATCATTTAAACCTTGGCTTCCTACACAGAATCAGTGTTCTGTGAGTAACTGGAATCATTTTAGCATTTACAGCTAAGTTACTCCAGGTGTTATAAAAATTAATATGATGTAACTGACATGCAGCATATTGCTTATTGTCCCTGAGGACCTGCATGAACAAAACATGTTGTATCTCCTGAGGCCAATAACACAGGGAAAGCAATTTAATGAAGAAACAAAGCAGTTTTAAATAACATTTTACCACTGTAATATGAACCACATTTTCCAGATTTACAAACAAAAGCATTAACTTAGAGTGAAAACAGAAAATATAATTAGAAGATCTGAGCCATGAGGCATTTAGCAAGAAGCAAAATGTAAAGAAACACAGAAAGGCTGTGTGCCTATGGGGAAAAAAAATAGCTGGCTAAAAGATAGATAAGCACGGTTGGTAGAGCGGATCAATGAGACTGGCTGCATTGCGGTCAATCTACAACTCTCCTACATGGCTTCATGGTTACTACCTTGGAGAGGAGTTGAAGATGGGGAGGATAAAAAAACTATATGGATCCCTCCCTGCTCTTTTCCCCTGCATAACTGTAGGGAAACAACATCTGTAGGAGTTACTGCTCCCTTGAGGTAGTCATAAAGGCTGAAGATAACTGCTGTTGACACTTCCTCACTTTCCAGTCCAACTCCTACTGACCTCCCATGGCAAACATTGCTCTATTACTCACAATATGCCTTGGGAACCTGATTTGAACCTAAGATCAGATAAAATATACTAGATAGGATTGGGACTGAATATAAACTGAAACAAAGCCTCTTTATTCAGAAAGTAAGATGAGAAAGAGAGATCTTGAGAAACCTCTGCCACAACCTGGTTACCTTTAATCACCTCCAGTTTCCCCATGTATAAGCTAGGGTACTTGCCAACTTCACAGGTACATTTTGGGATTTCAGCATTAATGTTAATCAAGAAGTATATTCCAAAAAGATACTTTCAAATACCAAGAAAGTATTATAAAGACCTGAACAGGTCCAAAACGCAATCTCTCCAGGCAAGGCTAAAACATTCATTAGGTTCAATAGATAACTTTTCCTAGAGATATATCATTTTTAATGAAATTTTAATAGCAGAGTTTTACAGTTCCAAGATAGAATTCTGGTGAGGGTCACCAGAAGACAGAAGAGCCGGGGGTTGCCTGGATGAAGGTTGTCCTCAGCCCCAAGGCACACTGCACCAGGGTCACTACTCCCTTGGACTTTCGCAATAGGTATGAAATCCTCGCAACACCAGATGAGCCAGCAGAACCACCAGCTCCTACACCTGAAGAAGAACGGCATCCTGCAACCACCCCTAGGAAGAAACGCAGTGTGGTTGTTGTAGGAGACTCCTTGCAAAGGACTGAGGGAGCTGCCATCTTGACCCCTCAGCCTGTGAGGTCTGCTGCCTCCCAGGGTCCCATATCCAGGATGTAGCTGAGAGGATCCCAAAACTTATCCAGCCTTCTGACCAATAACCCATGCTCCTTATCCATGTGGGCACAAGTAACATGGCTCAGAGCAATCCCACCTGGGTCATGACTGACCACAGGACTTTAGGATCAGGGTTCAAAGGGTTGGGGGCGCAGGTGGTTTTCTCCTTGATCCTTCCCATTATGGGTCATGGGCATAGGAGGGTGAGAAGAATTCAGGAAGTAAACAGAAGACTGCAGTGCTGGTGTCATTGAGACAGCTTTGGCTTCTAAGACCATGGCCCATACTTCAGAGAGAGAGACAGCAAGTTATTGGGAAGGGACAGCCTCCACCTCACTCGCGCAGGGAAGAAGCTCTTCTCAGCCAGAATGGCTAACCTGCTTGATTGGGCTTTAAACTAAGTTCACGGTGGGAAGGGCAGAAAGTCTCTGGTGCAAGCCCACCAAGCATCAGCTACCAAACCATCAGGCCACGCTGTACAAGGAAACAAACTCCTACCCCACCCCAGAGATGGGGCTCTTCCAGGAGTACAGGGAAACCTAGGGCCATCAATGGCAAGCTCACATGCCTTTACACAAATACCAGGAGCCTGGGCAACAAACAGGAGGAGCTGGTCCTACTCCTAAACAGTTATGATTATGATCTCATAGAGATAATGGAGACCTGGTGGGACTCCATCTATGAATGGACCATGGGTATAGATGGCTATACCTTGTACAGGAGAAATCATGTTGCAAGAAAGGGTAGGGGTGTAGCTCTCTACTTGAAAGAGCTATACACTTCGCTACCGGCAGAGATTGGCAACCAAGGAGGGTGACTTGAGACCCTTTGGGTAAGAATATGGGGGAAATGTGGTGAAAGGGATATAACAGTAGGAGTCTAATAGCGATTTCCTAATCAAGCGCAAGAACTTGAACACAAGTTCACTAGGGAACTGGCTGAGACTGCATGCTCTCAGTTCATGGTTATCATGGGCCACTTTAACTACCTGGACATCTCATGGGAAGACCACTCAGCCAATCCGATTGGTTGCAATGCTTCCTTACAAGCATTAATGAGCTTTATTTGTCTCAAAAAGTCTATGGACCAACAAGGGGCAAGGTGCTGCTGGGTGGTACTGGCCAAAGGGGATTATTTAGTCAGTGAACTGAGAATCGAGTGGAAGCTAAGAGACAGTGACCATGAGTTGATCACTTTCTCTATTCACTGCAAAGCTGGCAAGTCAGGGAGCAATACGCAAGTCCTTGACTTTAGAAAGGCTGACTTCCACAAGCTTAGGAGGCAAATTGTTCAGGCTCTGAAAAACCACAACCTGGCAAGGAAGAATGTCCATGATGAATGGACTCAAGGATCCAATCCTTGAAGCACAAGAGAAGTCCATTCCAACCCACACAAAAAATAGCAAAAAGGCTGGATGACCCCCTTGGCTCAATAGGGAACTCAAGGACCTCCTGCACCTAAAAAAATAAGCTTATAAAGGATGGAAGATGGGAAACATCACTAAGGAGAAATACTCAGCACTAGCCCACACCTGTAAGGAGCAAACTAGGAAAGCCAGGCTGAAACGGAGCTCAACCTGCCACTCAATATAAGGACAACAAAAAGTCCTTCTTCAAATATGTGGAAAGTTGGAAAAAGAACAAGGGTAACATTGGACCGTTACTAAACCAGGTGGGGCAGCTGCTAACCAACACTCAGGAAAAAGCCAAGCTTCTTAATAGCTACTTCATGTCAGTCTTCCATCAGCCCAGTGGGATCACTCAGTCTGAAAAACGGCAGGATCACCAGGGGAAGGGCAAACCTGCACCCACCATTACCACTGATCTTGTAAGGGAACATCTTAAGAGGCTGAACATCCACAAATCAGCCAGCCCAGATGGAATGTGCCCAAGAGTGCTAAAGAAACTAGCTGACATTATAGCCCAGGTTATGGCGAGGATATTTGAAAACTCATGACACTCAGGTGAAGTGCCTCACAATTGGAAAGGGGCCAATGTGGTGAGTATCTTCAAGAAAGGGAGAAGGGAAGATCCAGGGAACTACAGACCAATTAGCTTGACCTCAATCCCTGGAAAGATCCTGGAAAAAATCATTAAGGAGACCATTATTAATATCCTAACAGAAGGATGTTATTCTGAGAGATAGCCAACACAGCTTTGTGGCAGGTAGATCTTGTCTGATCAACCTGATCTCCTTCTATGACCATGTGATGTATCAAAGGAGAAGAGGAGAACAAAGGAGAAGAGGTGGATATCATATTCTTGGACTTCAAGAAAGCCTTTAACCTGCTGTCCGATGATGTCCTCATGAAAAAACTGGAGAATTGTGGCCTAGACAATTTCATGGTCTGATGGCTGGGGAACTGGCTCCATGGACAGACCCAGAGAGTAATAGTTGATGGAGCCAATTCAACTTGGCGCACTGCAACCAGTGGCATCCCCCAGGGCTCTGTTCTCAGACCTGTACTCTTCAAGGTGTTTATAAATGATCTGGACTCGGGTGTTACTAGAAGACTGGCTAAGTTTTCTGATGACACCAAACTATGGGGAAGTGCAGCCACCCCAGAGGATAGGCTGGCAATCCAGGATATCAACAGGCTTACAAGGTGGGTGGATCAAAACCTGATGGTATTCAATGCCAAGAAATTCAAGGTGCTCCACCTTGAGAGAAACCCACACCACACTTATAGGCTCAGCAGTGCTAGCTAGCACTGCATCAGAAAAAGACTTGGAGGTCATGATTGACCACAAGATAAACATGAGACACTCATGCGACGCTGCAGCCGGCAAAGCAAACAAAACTCTGGCTTGCATCTTCTGATTAATCTCAAACAAGACCCAGGAAGTCATCCTCCCACTTTACTCAGTGTTGGTGAGACCACAGCTGGAATACTGTGTCCAGTTCAGGACTCCACAGTTCAGAAAGGATGTAGAGATGCTCAAGAGAGTCCAGAGGAGAGTCACGCAAATGATTAGAGGACAAGAAAGCAGGCCTTATGAAGAGAGGCTGAGAGCCATGAGAGTCTTCAGCCTGCAGAAGTGTAGGTTCAGGAGGGTCTTGGTGGCAGCCTATAAGTACATAAAGTGGGGGGGCATCAGGATGTGGGAGAACATCTGTTCATCAGGGGACCCCAAGGAAAGACGAGGTTAAATGATCACGAACTGCTGGAAGACCATTTTAGACTGGACATAAGGAAAAACTTCTTTCCTGTCAGAGCCCCCAGGGCCTGAAATAAACTCCCCCCCAGAAGTGGTGCAGGCACCTACTCTGGATTCCTTTAAGAAACACTTGGATGCCTATCTTGCTCGGATCATTTGGCCCCTGCTGACTGCTTGCTCTTTGGGCAGGGGACTGGACCCAATAATCTTGCAAGGTCCCTTCCAGCCCTAATGTCTATGAAATCTATGAAATATACTTCAATATTGCCCAGAGGTTAGAACACTTAGCAGGTACATGAGAGA